GACATCCCCCAAGATTTCCTAAATCAGAATCCAGATACTTGGGAAAATAACAAAGATTTCATTGACTGTTGTAAAATGGTTCAACATCTGAAAGTAGTTAATGATGCAACTGTACAGTGATTTTCATTAGACATATATCATTATTTTTATGATTAGTAAATATTATGGTGTCTTGTTTTCATGTTTTCTGAAAACATTGAATTTATTAAGTTAAAAATATTTGAAAATTATATTAGTAATAGGTATTTACATATTTCATTATCGTTATAACTTTTGAGAAAATTAAACCATACCTATTTTGTCTGGGATATAATTAGACGAAAACTAAGAGTTCAGGCTAATATGAAAATTGAATGAATTGAAATATTCACTGTGTATAACAAATATACGTCGACATCTAAATTAATACACAAAACAATTTTCAATTTTCAACTGTAAGGTATAAAAATTGAACATATTTAATCCTGATTTTATCATAATTAATCATCTTTAATATTTTTCAATAGATATAAGAAATCTAATTTGATAATTTTTATCAAATTTGGATGATTCTTGAGTAAGTATAGTATGTGCAGTGCAATAAATTACATTACTGAAATTATAACAAAATAATAGTTTTCTTCAATAATATTAAAATATGTATAATAGCCCGGTATAACAATAAAATGTACAACAAGATGAACTTTTTGCATAGAACCTTTTTAATAAGAAATTTAATTTTACATAATTTTTATAGAAACATTTTTTTTATAATTTCATTCGTTCAACAAATATATTCAAATAACTACAAATTACCAATTTGGTAAAAAAAATTTAAAAGTTGTACTTTATTATTTTTCTTTAAAATAATAGACTTACAATAAATAATATACTTATACTTTTTATTGAAAACTGTACGTTCTACAATTTAAGTTCTATAAATTTTTTCTCTAAGTATCATATTTATTTAGTTAGGTCAACAAAATGACAAAACTACCCTTGTTGGCTATTTTTCAACCCCCCAGGGACACGAGAAAGGAGTGAGTAGTCACGACCAAAATTAACCAAAATTATTTTCTTATAACAATAAAAAAAATGAGGGGGTCCTACATTAAAAATATAAATATTTTTTTCTTACCTCTATAAATAAGGACCACCCAAATGTGCACCCAGACATTTAATATAAAATATATTGATATTAACTGCATTATATTACATTATATACATATACCTATACATTTATATTGTACAGTGTATTTGATCAAATTCTCGAAAAGACGACATCGATAGCCCTCCGCACATCTAGAAGAAGGTATAGTTAGGTAATTGCAATACATTAATTTGGTATTGTTCTTCAGCACTTAAAAGTGTAGAGAATCATACAGATACTTTAAGTAAATATCAGATTTTAACATCAATATAGGCAGGAGCCTTATTTTGGTTTATTTGATTTTTTGTGTTTTTACAACGCCATGGGAATTTGAAAATATTAGTCAAAAGCATCCGTAATTTTTTAAGCACATAATTGTAGGTATGTGACACAATTAATCAAATACTTAATATTATTATATTTTTCAAAAACGTATTCACCCTATTCTATTGAGCAGTTGTGCCACGCATTATAACGATTATATACATCTGTTTAAAATGCTTAGAGCCATTCCGGTGTATTAAATTTTACTACTAAACATGGGTAACAGGTGATAAAACAAAAAAATGAATAGTAATAAATAATAATGCACCCAACCTACTTTAGTATGTAGTCTCCGTGTTATTTTGTCTCACCATTATCTAATAGTAACTAGCACGACACCAGAACGCATATTATCGATATTATAGTAGCCAAATATAATACTAAAATATTATATGCATAACTTTTAATACTATTCCTATATTTCTTATATTTTTCAACGCAATCAAAATTATTAATTCATTGTTGATACCTACAAACATGCTTAAACACATTAATTTGTTACCTGTAGTATGTTTAATGTTTTATACAGTTGGAAATATTGATGCATTATTATTAAATTTAGGAAGTGAGTATATTTCTTATTTTTATTATATAATATGACAATTCAAATAGCTATATTTATGAAGAATCTTAGGTATAAAACAAGGAATTACAATTTAAATGTATATAATGTATAGAATTAGAGTTATTTAAAAAAAAAAAATAAAGTTATCAGAACATATTATTAAATAGAATGAGACTTTTTATAACATTATATTTCTAACAGAAAAACATTTCGGAATTTAAGCATATCCAATCTTATATTACTATGTTTATTTTTTATTCTAACTTAGCTTATTATTTACATTCACGTATAATAGCTATGAATAATTTCTTGCTAATAACAATGTTATGAGAATTATTAAATGTATGCAATTGCTAAAAGTTGTCTTCGTTAAAAAAATGCTACTCAGATTATTAATATTGTACAAATTGATGTACACTGAATGTTTGTCAGAGGTTATGCCTTCTTTGTAAATGTTAACTGTCTTGCTCTCAGTTTGTCAGTAAAATACTTATTAGTTATTTAACACATGTTTTGATACCTATTAAATTATTTAGAATTTAATCGTGCAGTATCATGCTATCGTAAGTAATTTAATTTAACTCCACAATATGCACATTGATCCACTATATGATTGTAATTTGTTTGCTCGTTAGTTAGTGATTTTAATTGCAGCCTTATATGAAAAATAAATTTTACTATGCTTAATACGGGTGCACAAAATATGTTAATTGATCAGATAATGACACTAAAGAGGACACCAGAATTTGTTTAATATTTATAAGTAGACGATTTATATGACAAGTATATTTGGACGTCCGTTTCTAAAGCCTCCTTCATTTTGAATTTCGATACATTTTTTTTGGCTAAATGTTTAATATGCAATTAGTGTGAATTAGCATGAGCTATATTAAAACCTAGCATTCAAAACCCTGAGTACCACTAGAATTTCAATTTATTGTCTACCATACAAAACAGGTAAACTTCATGCTATTAAAATTAACAATTAGGTATTCAGCATAAATACTTCCATTTCTATTTTTACACGTTTTGATATCACTATGCAATATTAAAACTTAATGGTTAGAATACATTGATATCAATTAATTTTTTTAATTACTTATGTTTACCCATTTACAATGTCAACAAATTTACCCCAAGAATAAAAAAAAATATAATTACTAATTTCACGATTTTTTTATATAATGAAAAAAGTATTTAATAAGTATGGGTATTAATTTGAGTAATTTGATAATCTCATGATTTATTTTTATTTTCTAACAAATGTTTTCTATTCGTAATGTGGGGTCATCCCATAGTCACATTATATACAATCAGAAAGATTATAATGTTTCTTTCAACAAAGTGTTTATTGATAACTGTATAAAAATACTATGCTAACATCTTTATAATATTTATGATTTTTATAGAACAAATGTTTCATCACAATCTTATAAGGCCAGCTGGTATGTTTGTTTTTCACTAAAAAAAAAAAACGCATTATTATTTCGTGATTAACTTGTTAGTTGTTACATACCTAAATATATTTTAACTGATAAAAAATAAAGCAGCTCGTTATAAGGGTTATAAGGGTCATTGAATTATGATCCATTGATTCATTTAGCATAAAGTCTATAGACTATAGTTTAATTTCATCGATATATCGAGATATCTGACAGGCATTGTGATTTGTACACACTATGCTATTCGAATGATATATTTTAGTTAGGTTTAGGTATTAACAAACGTTTGTGCAGTCCGTAAGCTTAAAATATAAGATCAGTAACATACTGAGATTTATGACTAATATAATTTATCTTTTGGTAGATGACTTTTTTTTGAATCACGATTTTAATGAAATAATGAATAATTTTTGTAAGTATAAATTTTTCTAGTTATATTTAATCTTTCCACTATGTACACTTTAGTATATATAATTTAATATGTTACTTTAAATAATTAAAATACAAACAATCTATATGCATTAATCATTTAATCAAAGAAATTAAAAATATAACATGTAACGCGATCTCTAGAATGTTAAAATTTAAATTCATACCTATCGGCTATTACAGAAATACCTTTGTTATTACATTTGTTTTTATGAATTCAAGCCTATATATAAATTATTATAATTCTGTCTCGAGGAATCAAGAAATAGAAAATTAAATTCCCATGAAGTAATATATTATACTCAATTGTATTCTTGTAAAATGACAAGTTAAAAAAAAAATAGACTGTTAAAAAATGTTTTAATTTCATTGTTCTAACTTCCATATAGATTGTACACAGGCCTATAGGTCTATTAAAATGAGAAGGACAATGTTTTTGCTTTTATCATTTACCAATTAATATTATAAATCTACCGTATTCACCGAAAAAACATGGACCCTACTATAGTGTAGCGCCTAAAATAATCAATGACCTACCTAACTATTGCAATAATTTTGAGTTCAAAGCGTATCTCTGACGCATCCAATGGGTTATGATCCATATCTAACTAAATGTTTCTTTGAAATCGACTATTTTTTTAATATATGTACTACACATACGTATTCTAAAGAGGGCAAAAAGAAAAAGGTTTTGAGAGTTCGGGGTGCACATATCTGGATTCAGCGAAATTTTTGTTTAGATATTTAGTTATTGTGTATTATGTAGTACCAATGACAATAGCTGGCTAACAAAATAACAGAAATAACTTAAACTGATTTTTTGGTTGCTGCTAATTTCTTTTTATAACGCACTTAGTCCCAAAGCATCATTGACTTATCAAGATGTCTGCTAGTGTACCATTGTGATTTTTATCGTCTATAATTCCAGTGAAATAATTTGGTTGGATATTTGATGCAAAAATGAGTGTCATATTTCATTGTATCGTGCTAAATGAATAATTAATTTATAATTGTATATTTGTATGTTGTATTTAGTTACACAAATGTGTGTAGCTTATCGCATTAAAATATAAAACAACAAAAACAGATTTATGTGTAATATAATTGTTTTTAAATTTGTAGATATGATTTACGTACATCATGATGATTTGACAACTTTAAGACAAGATTTCGGTAAGTATACATTTCTAGTCATTTCTATTATTATATTCAAATATGTCATAATAGATACTGCTCTTATAGATGATTTAATATCTTACAATATGTAAGACAAATACAAATAAGAATTAATCTGTTCCAGTTCAGCATTGTTAAGAAATAACTACGATTCTAGCACTTAACTTAATGGCATAATGTACATTTATTTATGTGGTAAATGTGGTCCTGCCCGTGCAATGTAAACCACGAATTTTTTTTTATCCAACTAACTACTAACATTCTTTTTTATTATTATTATAAAATTTAATTATTACCTATTTATCCTATTTATAGTATTTAATTAATTTTAAAACAAGCTTTACTAATTTTATTCAATTGTTTAAAAAAAGATCAATACTATAGATAGGAAATAATTATAATTTATAATGATATACGTTGTTTAAGAAAGATTTGGTAGTTTACATTGCCCGGGCAGGACCACATTGATGTGGCAATGTACACATTGCCCGGCATTCCGCATTACCCGTAACATAAATACATTGAATTATTAACAGACGTCATCTCAAAGTCGTTCTTATAAAAGGTTCATCATAAAAAAGATTAATATTTTTGGTAAGCATGTTAAATGCAGAACAAGTATGAAATATTTATCTTTTTGTAGATGAATTATTAAAAGTAGACGAAGATTTTAACGCAATAATGGAAGATTTATGTAAGTACCTATTACTTCTTATGTATAATGCTATTTCTTAAATATTTTATCATATATACTGTATTTATAGATTATGAAATACATTATGAATATTATTGATATATTTCTTACTAATATGACGTTATTCTTTCGTTTCGTTAATACTTAGAATGATTTGTGCAATACAGACATTCATTATATCTCTCCCTAGTATAATTAAAAGATTGAACACCATTATCATAATATTACGAGCACTAAATCCTTTCACATCAAGTGATTTTATTTCATTATATATTTACCTGCAATAATATGTTTTGTTATCAGCATATTCTGCAGAATTTATTAATTTGACTGCACCCGAGTTGCGGTCAGAGATGATTTTCGAGATAAGCACATTATAACAGTTGTGGTCACGAAAATTGTAGGTAATATCCTAGTTGCTGTCATATAGGTTTTGAGGTATCAGTATTTTTGATTATTATTGTCCACGTGATTTGAGTATCCAAAATAATATCAATGAATGTAATCGATTTTTGTATCCACTAACTTCCATTTATATTATACCTGGGCCCATTGGCTATTGAGTTATGGGTTGCACCCTCAAAATATCCCGAGTATCAATATATCAATCGTTTAAAATATCCCCCTTTAAAAACATCCCTATTAGAAATATTCCACGTTTAAAATATCTCCGTTACAAATATCCCAACTAAAAATATCCACTACACAAAATATACCCAGCAATATAATCCCTTAACTCATACAAGTATACGAAAAAATAATTTTTTTAAATGAAAAATTAGAAACACTGTTTAACTTCTCTTAAACTATGTTAGTCAAACTAACATACACAAACTATTTTTTTCTAAACAATTTATGTATCAAAAGTTTTTTTCTAATTACAATATTGGCATATTAAATTTAACGATGAAATTTAATATTTACGAGTAATTTGTTTTTGACGAAATTTAATATTAAATTCAACTTATTGTTACTTATTACTAGTTATTAGTACCTATCCAATATTGTTAAATACCTGTTTGCACACAGATAAGATATAAATAACACTTTTTTATCGTAGTAATCGTAAATAAGATAACTAATTGAAGGTAATGAAAACATTGAAAACTATAAAATTGTACACATTTTGAATTTGAAATCAATTTTTATTTATTTGCAATTACGTTCTACAGTTCTATCTGATAAATTGTTCGAAGTTTAAACCTTGATGTTCCAAACATGATTCCAAACGTCTTAATAATTCCATTGATGTGGCAGCGTTTATTTGTTCTCTTCTCAAATTACTACAAGCCAGTCGTATTTTGTTTTTTAAATCTTGGAGATTAATAGGTGGATCTGCATATACAACATTTTTTAAATGCCCCCATAAAAAAAATCCAATGGGGTCAAGTCTGGAGATCTTGCTAGCCATGGAATTACTCTATGGGTACCAATTCATCGGTTAGGTTAAATTTCATTTAAATAATTTTTAACAATGATGGCGTTGTGTGCTGGTGCACCGTCTTGTTGAAAATACATATTTTCCCGCGTGGCTAATGAAACATTTTCTAGCAGTAACGGTAATTGATTAACAAGAAAATCCAGATATCTTCTACCTGTAAGTATTCCGTCGTAAAAATAAGGACCTAAAAGTATTCCACCAATTAATCCACACCACACATTTTTACCCCAAACTGTCTGATAGTTAGTTTCTCGGGACCAGTGTGGATTTGTATCGTCCTAAAACCTATTGTTTTGTTTGTTCATTACACCATTGTTTGTGAATTTAGATTCATCAGTCCACAAAATATTATTATAAAATAAATTGTCAATTTCAAATTGAACGCTAAACCATGACAAAAATTGTAATCTACGTTCATAATCTCCGATTCGTAAATGTTGGATAAACTCAGGTTTAAACGGGAACATTTTGTTTTTTTTTTAAATTTTATGTACTGCGCCAACTGCAGATATACCAATTTGTCGAGATACATATCTTATTGATGATCGTGGATAAGCACGTATGTAGGCCATTACCTGCAATTCAGTGTCTTCATCAAAATTATTTGGTCTAGGCTGCCGTTGTCTATTTTGGTTGCTAGGGAATTGACAATTTTCATTTAATCTACGTAAAAGTCTATGGACATAATTATGATGTAGATGAAACCTATCTGGATACCGATCTGCGTACACCCGAGCTGCTTGTCGAGAATTACGATTACATTCACCAAAAATAAGAATAAGTTCGACTTTTTCACTGCTATTCATTTTAATACAGTTCTTTCATGTAAAACAGTGTATTAAAGCAATAACGATTTTTTCAGAAAAACATGTGATACTTAATCAGAATAAAATAACCACGATGTTACATGAACAGTAACTGTCACAAGACTAGTTTGAAATCATTAAAACAATTGTTAATAGTTAGCGAAAATAATTTATCAACATTTATTTATAAAACAAATGCTGTTTAATAAAATCCTGTTCGTTATACATTTATTTTATAAATAAATGTATAACGAACAGGATTTACTATCTTAATTATTGGCAATTGTTGTCAAAGTTATTTTTATTATCTTATCTGTATGCAAATGTAATCTGTGGATACTAATAACTAGTAATAAGTAACAATAAGTTGAATTTAATTTGAAATTTCGTCAAAAACAAATTGCTCGTAAATATTAAATTTCATCGTTAAAATTAATATGCCAATATTGAAATTAGAAAAAAACTTTTGATACATAAATTGTTTAGAAAAAAATACTCTACCCGAATCTGCAGAAAAAAACTGGGGTTACCATTTAAAAAAAAGTAAGTTGTATTGCGCATGCGCGTACCGAGTGAGCTAAAAATTTGAAACTGGTCTGAAAATATGTATTTAAGTGCTCCCTATCACCTCCCGAAAACCCCATTTCAATACAATGTCACCCATCTGTGATATTCAGTGGTACCTCTTAGCGTGAACACACTGTATATTTGTATAATTTTGTACAAGGTTCACATGTATGTGTAGTTGATCAGATTGGAATGTAAAGACAGTTACAGAAGAAAACTAATGAATAATATGATTTATATTTTTACAGTTGCTTTTTTTATTATTAATGGTGATATTACAATTCCCATCTTGAATTTAAGTAAATATACTTTACAAATTATATCTTAATATTTCATAATGTGTACTGTGCTTTAGATGATTAAATATGTTACAATTAATAGTACAAATACAAATACTCATTAATCCTCTAGTAAAAGAAACATACCCCGTCTTGTTATATTTTTTAAATGCTTATTCGTTTAAAACCTTTGTTATTATGAGCGAAAGGAGCAGTATATAATATGTTATATTAGGAATTAAAGTTGCAAACCGTGAACTAACTGAAGGTAAGTTATTTTTTCCAATGATGATGTATAATTTCGTAGAATTACATGTTTTATTTATAAAAACTGTATAATTCATGTATATTTATGACTGTGTCTCCATGTAAATATAAAATTTACCATTTATAAAGTACCTATCGCTAAACACTTACCTGAACCTAATTGAAATCATTTAAGGCCCAATTATAAGATTTATTACGAATTACTAGTATGATGCTAATTCGGGTATGTATCTATTAGACTGGCTACAAAAAAACAACATAAATCTCTCACAATTAATTAAACTTTCGTTATATTAAAATATATATCTAAATAACAATGAATCAGTACCATAATTATATTCATCGATTCATAAACATTTATATAATTTAATTTTTTAGACGATGTGAACTTTCTATTTCCAACCAGCTATTGTCATGAGTACAGAAATAATAACTTATAGTAAGAATTAATATTTCAATACAATCACTAATACATATATCATACAAGTTACTTGCATATTTTTGTATTAGATGGTACAGCTTGAAGTTAAATGGTAAACATTAGTAGTACAAGGTAAATACATTTTATATAAATAATATTAACCAAAAAGTGTAAAGTTTTAACAAATTAAATTAACGTTTAGGATATGTCAAAATTAATGACTCTATAGTCTTTCCTTTTACATATGGGTGAAATATTTATAATACTAGTTAGAGAGAGATTTGGACTGAGTTTGATCTCCAGTTTTTAGATGATTAGGCCCATGTATTTAAATTTAATTTGTTTGTTGTGATTTACAGAAAGTACCTTATTTGATGCAATGTTTATATAAAATATATTTGATCATTAATTAATACACTAAATTAAATCAAACTCTTATTTTATTTTTGTTTTCAGATAAACACTTAGTTCTATCTGAATATTGCATTGCTTCAATAATGTTGACTTGATATACTAATAAATACATTATATTATTATATATTTAATATATATAAATAACTTTATTTAATTATAAATATAACGTTATATTATATATTATGACAATAAATTTAAATTGAATCCGATGAATTGTCTATTGTGTTCTAAATCAAATTACCTAGAGAAACATGTTCTAAATTATGATAGATTGATGACTAATTAGTTTCTAATTATTGAATTAAGTCTTTGAATTTTGTAGATATCTTATCTAATGTTCATTGATTGAGCGTTTGTTGTATTCTTTTCTAGGTATATAAACATTTCCACTTACAATTTTAAGTCATAACTATTATATTATATATTATATCATTCTATACCGTTTCTACTTTTTGATATTTGTGAATAATATTGTCTCTTTCCTGTTACTTCCTAATTGTTGAGACTTAAACGCCTGGCATTATTATTCACGAATACTAAATTTAATTTTACTTCGAGATTTTCCCAAGAGTTAGATTAATATTAATATCTTCTTCATTTAGAATACTGTTATTAAAACCACTCAAATTTTTAGGTATTATAACTTATAAGTGTCCGCACATTTACGCAAGTAGGTACGCAACACACGTCGTACTATAAATACGTCGTTAAACAATGTGTAGGTAATCCTATCGGTCTTCCGACCAACATAAGATAAGATATTTATAGTTTATAGTGTTTATACTATATATTTACAATTCGACGGATAAACCAAAAACTATCCAACCATCGGTATTTAAAATTAACAATAATTTATGAGAATCTGACAACAATATATGTATATATTACTTTTATATATACATATCATATAATGGATATAATATGATGTTTACTTTAAACGAGTGATATGAATAAAAAATAAAAATTAAAGATTTAAACTTTTTTTTTTTCGTTTTCATTTTCTCTGTTTGTTGGAATTCAGTGACTAGCAGCATTTGATATTTGTATCTATGGTTGTTGGATGTATGATGTGAATGTGAAAAATGGTATTGTATCCAAGGACGTTTTTAGGGCGGATGAGCGTATGCCCTGTGCTAAAATTCCCAAGTTTTTTTTTAATGCAAGCGATTTACTCACACATTATATTATAGATTTAGTTTAAATTTATATTTGACAAAGTTATAATGTTCGTTAGTTATTAGGTTCAATTTAGTATTTAAATACTGGTGCAACAGTGTACAGTATACACCATGGTAATATAAGTGAATAGTATTCTATATAGTGCACAGAATAAATTAATATCCGGGTGCGGAAATAATTTAATATATTATGTAACTTGGATAACACGATATCGGAAAAAATAAATACCCATATTGGAAACCAAAAACAAAAACGGGAAAAAAATTTTTTATGAGAATCAGAAATCGAAATACCATATAATATTTTCAGTTTCAAACCCTGTAGAATAACATGATGTTTAACAAAAAAGATTCCAATTTTTAATGTATTGCACATTTTGGGGAATTTCGCAACTGCTATTGTAGGTGACTATTGTAAAATATATTTTTAAATAATTATAATTCGTCCATCATAGCAAAATGGAAAATATTAATATTTTCGCAAACTTATTGTTTATAAATAATTAATGGAAGGTACCTTCTAGGAACTTTTAAAGTATATCGTTGTATTATGTTATACACGCAATGACATTTAAAATTTATTTTTTTTAGCAAAAACTTAATCGGCCTATTTGTATTTGGCACCGTATAACGATTATACATCTGTTTAAAATACTTAGAGCCACTGCGGTAGATTTAATTTGCAAGCTTAATATTTACTGAGGTGATACAAACAAAAAAATAGTTCCAATAATGTACCTGACTAACAGCACTTGGTATGACCTACTTATGAGAAACCTTGTTTTAAATTTTTAGTACTTATAACTACAAAAATTACAAATTTGTTACAACAAAAAAGTTTGAAAGGTTTTGATTTTTTGATGTATTTTGTCAACATTTGAACTGTATATTATGGCTATAAAATGGATAATTTAGGCCATATACCAACAATTATTTAAATGTATTGTTTGAAGGTAGGTAGACTTCGTAAAGTTTTCAGAAATGTTAAATATATTATATTATTTTAAAGTACAAGTTATAATTTTCTCTCTATTTATGTGTCTCTGTAGGAAAATACATTGCATTTTTTTAATAATAAAATCATTAATACGTAAAAAATTATTAGTAAATGATGATTGATGAAGATGTAAAAGAAAAGAGTGTGATGAAAGGTCAGTTTTCTTTTTCTTCTGACAGATGTTAATAATTGACGTATTATAAAGAGAATGTTGTCAACATCTCAATATGTTGACATGCACCAGGGACCAGGATAAAACAATATCATAAAATATATAAGAATAATTAAATATTATAATATGCACTATTGAAAAATGCTTATACTAAGGTTTCGTTCGATACATATACTTTTCCGTTTCATGTAGACAACAAAACGTTATTTACACACTACTATTTTCCCAAATGGTTTACCCAGTTGCACTAAACCACATTTAGTTTAGTGTTTAAGAATAGACTTCTACGATAATACCGTTGTTTAACATTTTTTTAATATCATTCTTATTGCATATTTCTAAACGAAATCATTATTATTAATTTTTTGTAGGTACCTAACATGATGGTTAAACATATTAATTTGTTGTCTGTGTGTCTTCTGTTTTATGTAGTTGGAAGTATAGATGCGACATTAAATGAAGGTGAGTATATCTTATATTTTTACTACAACTACATATTATGACAAATCACTTTATATTACTAGGTTTGACGAATCTCAGTTATAAATGAATTCATTATACACATATTTACAATTTAAATGTATGCAACGTATAGAATTAGTGTTATTCTAATGAAATAGTAATCAATTCATATTATTAAATAGAATGAGAGTCTTATAATATTGTATTTCTAATGAAAAAATCTTCAGAATCATGATCAATATTATTGAAATTATTTTCTTTACCAAGCTTAAGGTTTACGTTATCAGCTTTTATGTTACTTGTGTTACCTTGAGCATTAGACAATAATACCTGTCTATTCAATTTGTTTATTTTATAACTAGTATATCAAAGTATTATTACTTAGTATTGTAATAATTTCTTGACTCTTGAGTATAGCCGTATCATATTAATTATTAAAAGTATGCCAACTTTTTATCTTACAAACATAGATATATTTAATATAAAGTATTTTGTGTTCTTAATATTCATTTACTCGTGAACATTAAGGTAATTATATTATCCTCTTACAAAGTCCCATATTGATATTTTAACTTTATCGCGAGTTATATGAAGTTAGTTAATAATTATGTCAATAATAAAACAATTTTTATATTGAGATTCATTACGTTATATGTTGTGCAATTATAAACCGTACGTTTGTCAGTGGTTGTGAAGTTCTCTTAGGAGACAACCCTCTTGTCCTCATCTTGTTCGTGAAATACTTATCGAACACATATTTTAACAACAATTAAATTATTTAGAGTTTGATCGAGCAGTGGAATGCTATAGTAAGTAATTTGATTTTACTTGACAGTGTAGATATAGCTCATATAAATACATTAAATTTCGATCAACGTGATCAATATATGTAGAAGGTGTAACAGATAGACCTGATAAAAAAAAAAAAAAAAAAAAAAATGCTACTTTATTAATGTAAGACAAATTCTTCTAACATTATATGAGTAGTAAATAATTTAAGATATATACCTACTCATGTCAGATTCACGAATTGGTGATTTTGAACTTATCCAAAAAAAAAAATTTCGTTCAATTTAAATTTGTGTATGTTCAGTATTAAAAAATAAAAATAATTTTTTATATTTTACATGTATAGCGCAATCGACTATAAATTTTACATAGAAATATCAAAATATTGATTATAACAAAAGTTAGTTAGTCAGTTCTTTCTGTTCTGCCATGTATATATTAATATTCATCAATATATTATCCATTGTATAATGGTAATTTTGATAAAAGTTAGTTGTTTTGAGAGCAGGCCATTATGAAAAATAAATTACTTAACGCTCTAGTTTTCAGTGCAATACTATGTTAATTGATCATGTGTTACTTAAAATGCCGTTATGGTAACGCAACTCAACTGTTACAACATGCTTTTGAACTTCTTATTGTTCTCAAACGGCTCTCAATAATCATAGAAAGATGACTTTTGAAATCAATTAAAGTTGGTTTTGAAATTTTCAAAAATATTTTCATTTAAAAAAAATAATATTGAGTAGATAAAAACTGATATGAAAAATCTGAATATTATATAGAAGAACTTCTTAAGTTTATTTTTATGAAATGTATTGTGAAAGCCTGAAAAGATGGCCACGATACTAACGCCATCTATTTTGCTAGCACACGATTCCGCACAATATACCTTTATATCTACCCGATTTCTCAAATTTTCGTAATTCAAAAGAGTTTTTTTAATTAAACCTCAATTCAATAAGACACCGCATAAAAATTGTTGCGATGTTGCCAGTGAATTGGAAAGAAATAATACTAAATAGACCAAATAATTAAAAATAACAGTCCCGTATCATACTCCGATAGCGACAGTCGTGTAAAAAAAAGTTTAGTGCTTTATCTACATCACGACAGTTTATCTGATTTCACTACAAATAAAACCAATATGTACGGGCCAAGGTAAAGAGTTAATATAACATAATTATATTTTCATATACCCCAGTACAAAATGAGTTTTTCTCATCGTACACCCTCTCCTATACAAGGAACCTCCTCTTCACCGAAGCTCACTTACCCACATATTAGAAAAACTTCCAACGAAGTACAAGCTACTACCTCAAAAATTCCACACCCAAATTCGTCTCAAAATTTAAT